ATCCATTCATCCTCCAGTGGACACTTAGGCTGCTTCCATGTCTTGGCTGTTTTAAATAACGCTGCAATGAACATCAGGGTGCAGATATCTTATCAACTAAGTGTATTCATTTCCTTCTGATAAATACCCAGAAGTGGAATTCCTGGATCGTATGGCAGTTCTGTTTCTACGTTTTTGAGAAAGCTCCATACAGGTTTTTTTGTTTGTTTGTTTGTTTTGCGGTACACGGGCCTCTCACTGCCGTGGCCTCTCCCGTTGCGGAGCACAGGCTCCAGACGCACAGGCCCAGCCGCTCCGCGGCACGCGGGATCCTCCCAGACCGGGACACGAACCCGTGTCCCCTGCATCGGCAGGCGGACCCTCAACCACTGCGCCACCAGGAAAGCCCACTCCATACAGTTTTCGATAGTGGCTGCGCCGACTGGGGCAATTTCTTCAAGAATGCAGATTTCTGGGCCCCATCCCAGCAGAGTCATCACGTATGGGGCAGGGCCCAGGAACCTGCATTTTAAGTCAGATTCTGATTCTAAAGCCCCGCTAGGGTTGAGAACTGCTGTTCTGTGGGTCTTCTTTGTTCCTCCTCCCACCCCTTGGACTCAAGGGCTCACCTGTGCTTGCTTCCTCTTCTACCCTTGGATTATGATTGTACTTTTTGATATGTCAGCCGTGGGCTATAGCAGAGCTTAATTAACTCAGTTTCAGTGAGTCATAGGACAGGTTTTGTCCGGGGTGGAGTATTCTCCCAAACACAGACCAACTTTGTCTTAATGTGGCCACAAACTAAGCCTGGTCCCTCCCTGACCACAGCAGCTTCCGGCACCCCTCCATCTCCAGAATATCTCAAGGTAGCTTGAGAAAGACTGTGGGTGACTCAGTGCATTGTCATTGTGCTGGTGGTCCGCCCAGAGCCAGGCGGGAGATGTCACCTCCCCACACACAGACTGGCCATCCACGGCCAAGGCTCGCATCCCAAAGCCAGGTCGGGCCAAGGCAGGCCAGGACTTCTGGTGGACAGTTCAGGTGCCCCATGATCAGCACTCCAGTCAGTGCCTCCTTTCTCCAGAGGCACTTAATGGCCACCAGAGAAATGAGACAGGAGGAAGCAGGGGGCACAGAGCCACTGGAGTGGCCATAGAAGTATTAGCTGGGTGCCCTGGCCACAGCAAGACCAGCTTCAGCTTCTCTGCCTCCTGCCTAAACTTGAGGCTGCCCACAGCCTTTATACCACGTGCCAGGCATTCAGCTAAATGCTTCCCATGCATTAATTGCCTGTTTAATACTTACAGCCGACCCATGAAATAGGTATTTCCATTATGCTCATTTTACAGATGTGGAAACTGAGGCCCGAAAGCTCAGTTAGCTTCCTCCAGCACCACACAGCCAGAAACCGAGGAGGTTGGGATCAAATCCAGGTCCATCTGACTTCCTAGACCAAGTCATTTCTCCTTTATTTATTTATTTGTCATCTAAACTAGTTGACTTGGTTTGTATTCTCCCAAATACAAACCCTGGGACAAGGGTTTGGGAGTATGTAGTTTATTCAGGAGAGGCAGAGACACCGGGGAGAAGGGCAGGCAGCCAGAAGCGTGTGTTGTCAAGCCAGTGACTGATTGGGAAACAGGGCAACGATTGGCAGAGAGCGGAGAACACACTCCCTAGAGCTATTCCGACCAGGGAGTTAGGGACCTGGGATGGTGGTTAGACACCCACTTTAATTAGCTGTTGATTGAGGGCTGCCCGGGGGCTGTTCATTCCCTGGCACTTCTGGCCTGACCCAGCAGAGCAGCCTTCGGGGCGAAGCACCCAGGCAGAGATGCAGATCCTCATGGCTGTTGGAAGAAGTCAGGAGCATGATGAAAGATAACAGTCTGAGGGAAAGGCGCACGGGCAACGCATCGACAGCTTCTGTACACTAGTTTTTATTACAAAAGAGATAAATGCACGTAGCAAGAAGTTTAAACACCCCAGAAAAGTACTGATAAAGATGTATCTTCTCTCTCCCTGACTCCCAGTCTGACTTGCCTAAGGCAACCACCTGTCACCTACAAATTGGCCCTTGCCCTGTACCTCTACAAGGATCAAATTATGAGCTGCTACAGCTGCTGACCATTGACCCCCCCTAAAAGGAGTTCAGGGTGGAGATCAGGAATGAGGCCCTCTGTGCTCTGGGAAGAACTGGCAGAACATGTCTTTAGATAGTTAGATATTTTCAGGAGAAGACTTTATGAGCCCAACTCTTGCATCTCCTCGTATCTAGAAAAGCACTAAAATCCTTCATGGTGACGTCTGCTCCTCGTGACTAGCAGCAACCTTCTGCAAAAAATATGTGCTGGATTGCGTGTACTCCCCCTTCACCAAAATCACATATATACTCATCTTCCCCCCTACCTCTTTGGAGCAGTTTCTCAGAGCTATCTGAAATGCTGTCTCCCGGACTATAGTCCTCATTTTGCCCCTCATTAAGTTTGTAAAACGTAACTCGCAACTCTCACATTGTGCGTTTTTTTCAGTCAACACAACTTTGATAGTTTGCATCCATCAAGTTGCTAAGCATACGTGTATTTTTTTTACATGAATAGGATCATACAGTGCATGTCCTTGTGCACCTTGTTTTTTTCACTTAAAAATATATCTTTGCTGAGTCCCCTATGAATTGGCAATTAGGTTGTTGCTAGTTTTCTATAACCACAAATAGTGCTGCCTGCATCCTGGTACATGAACCTCTGTGCAAATGTGTAGGACACATTTCTGGAGGTGGAATTGCTGGTTCAATGGCGTGTGTGTGTATGTATGTATGTATGTATTTATTTATTCTGGCTGTGTTGGGTCTTCGTTGCTGTGCGTGGGCTTTTCTCTAGTTGTAGCGAGCGGGGGGCTACTCTTGCAGTGCGCAGGCTTCTCACTGCGGTGGCTTCTCTTGTTGCGGAGCACGGGCTCTAGGCGCGCAGGCTTCAGTAGTTGTGGTGTGCAGACTCAGTAGTTGTGGCTCGCGAGCTCTAGAGCGCAGGCTCAGTAGTTGTGGCGCACGGGCTTAGTTGCTCCACGGCATGTGGGATCTTCCTGGACCAGGGCTCGAACCCGTGTCCCCTGCATTGGCAGGTGGATTCTTAACCACTGCACCACCAGGGAAGTCCCAGTACGTGTGTCTAGCATTTTAACATATGCTACCAGACGGTCCTCCAAAGAGGCTGGCCCAGGAGACACACCTGCCAGCAGAAGGACAGGTTTCCAGCTTTGCACACTCTTGGAGGCTCTCCCCTCCTCGCCACTGCCTGCTTCAATCCTTCCACGGCCCTGGCTGCAACTGTACCAGATTTTACAGCTTCCCTGATGAAATAAATGAGAACCTTCAGATGGGAACCAGCAAAGGTAGTTTATTTAGCGCTGGCCTAGCAAGGGAATCAGGCGCATCACCTGTGTTTGGCAGAGACTCACAGGCCTCCAGGGAGTGGGAGAGCTTCAGAGAGGACCAGAGGGAAAGCACAGGTATATCTTGAATGGAGGCTGTTGGCCCGGGAAGCTGGAGGCGGGATAACTAGAAGCAGACATCTTCTGTGATTGATTCGGGAGTATATTTGGCCATCTCTGGTTGGTTCTGAGTTGGAGAAAGGGGACAATTAGGAAGCTGGCAGTCACTGACCAATCTCATGATTCTGGGGTTTTTGCTGCAGAGGCTGTGCGTCAGAGTTCTGTTGTCACCTACAGTCTGACCAATGTCTGTTTGTAGTTCCGTCTCTCACCTGAAGACACCAGCTCTCTTCCATCCTTAGAAAAACACTCTGTGGGAATTCCCTGGTGGTCTAGGGGTTAGGACTCTGTGCTTCCACTGCTTGGGAACTGGTCGAGGGTGAGGGTGGGGAACTAAGATCCCTCATAGCTGCACGGCACGGCCAAAAAAAAAAAAAAAAAAAAAGGAAGCAAAGACTTTTTAAAAAGAAGAAGAAGAAGAAACACTGTTCTTTAGAGAGTGAAAGCTCAATCACCGTTCAGAGGCCAGCTCTGGGCCGAGGATTTCTGCAGGCTCTCTTCCCCCATCAGAATGTCCTCTCTTGTTTTTAACGCTACCCTTGATTCTGCTTTGTATCGAGTTAAAAGAACCTTAATAGTCTGCTGCCAGGCCTTTCCTGTGCTCTGCAGACTCTCTGTACCTGAAGGCTTGTTTTGAACCGTGGAAGGTTGCCCTGCTCCCACCTGCAGGAAGACCGACCCTCCCCGCAGCTGACAATGACTAATGGAGGGGGTGTAATTCTGAGGGGTGGGTCTCACACCACTGCCCAGTGGCTGGAGCTCTAATTCCCCTCTGCTTGATAACACACTCTTATTGGCAGTGATAACACACTCTTATTTCCTTCCCTTGTATTACCTCCTCATTTTCCTGGTGTTGTTTCCTGTACCTCCCAAATATAATATCTGAACCCAAATCTTTGTTTTCAGGGAGTGCTTCTGGGGAAAACCCAAACAAAATTGAAAGGTTTCCTTATCCGCATTTTACAGATGAGGGAAACTGAGGCTCAGAGAGGTTAAGTAACATATTTCAAGGTCATGCGGCTTATCGGTCAGGATTGGTATTAAACCCACACTGCTTTTGATTTGTGAGTGTGTTATTTTTCTCCCTAATCCTTTGAAGCCAGAGGCCAACCACCTTTTATAATTTAATAGTCTTTTGATGCCTAAACAGCCCCTTGTGCAATAATATGTTCTGTCAAAACTTTTTACAAATTTAACTGAATCCAGCTATGCATGTATGTTCTTCAGGGTTCATAACAGGACTCCCAAGGGCAGGCCAAGACCACTCCTGGGATAACCTGTGCTCAGGCTGTCTTCATTCCCCCCCAGCCTTGGATGGGCAACTCAGGGTGATTTCTGGGGCAAGCACTCCACTGTTGACACCCCAACTCTGCCACCCAAGGGAGATGAGAACAGGCAAGACACGGCCACCTTCGAAGGAGAAAGCACATTTTACTTAGATTGTTCTTAGAGAACAGCAAGTGTGTCCATCTACACTCGACATACACATCACATAGTATAGAAAAAAAATAAAAGCTGGGATCCTCTCCCCCCTCAGCTCCCACTCCATCTTCCCCTCACCAAAATGTGGGGAAAGACCAGCCTTAAAGGCAGAGAGGGCCTTTGTCCCCAAAGTAGCATGGAACACACTGTACCATGAAGCAAAACATCTCCTTAAACCCATATCTTCACAAAGGAATTCAACTCCCCAGGCTGGCCCCTCATCCAGGTCCTCCAGGTGCATTTCATTACAAAAACCAATGAGTTCCTGAAAAAACTTTATTAGTCATATCCCGCGAGAGGTGTGCAAGGAGGGCCAGGATCTGGCAGTGAACGCAGCAAAGAGCCCTATGCTTTTGTTGGGTTTTTATTCACCTGGGAGGCTGCAAGTGGGACAGGCCAGGAGCATCCCTACTGTAATGGAGAGCTATGGGTGTTGAGAGGTCACCCATCCCCAGACAGATAGACAGACAGCCCGTAGGCCCCACTGCAAGACCAGAGGGCCCATAGAAGACGGCTGCAGGCTAAGGTGAGAGCAGAGTCTGTGCAGGGTAGGACTCATGCACTTGGGCTCTGATGGAACCCAGAAGTCAGGGAAGCGCCAGCTCCAGCTCAGGGGGAGGACAAAGGACCGCCATGGCCCTCCTCTGGGACCTTCTCTCCCAGCTCAGGAAAGGCAAGAGGCCCGGGATGCTTGGAGTCCTCATTCAGCCCCCAGGAGCAGGCCTCCCCTGCCTTGGGTTCTTTTAATAGACTAGACACATCCCCTGAGAATGATGCTAGGAAACAGGACCATTAGCCCTTTGCCTATCACCGCTGGCTCACCAGGCCCCAGGCAGCCTTTTAGGAGGTGAGACCCAGGCCCAAACTCAGGGCTGGCGGCCGGGCAGGGGTTAGATGAAGGTGCTGTTGGCAGGGTGCCTCTGGACAGCGACTTTGGCACCCATCACTCTGGTCCTACTGGAGGCTTTCTTCTGCTTGGCATCCAAGTTCTTCATGTACCTCTGGACCCACAGCAACTTGGGGTTGCCACAGAACCTCTGGCCCTTCCTGGTGGTGAAGCTGTGGGAAGAGTGACAGGGCACACGTGAGGTCTGGCAGGGGGTTTGGATCCCTTCACTTTCTGAGGAGGTCGTGTGGAAGCCCAGAGGACACGCTGCTGTCCCAGCCTCCTGGCACGTTCCTGACACGATGTCTCCTCTCTGTGCGTCTGCATCTCTTTGTTTCAATAACCTCATGTTCATGTTCAGTAACCTCCTTGTCATATGGGGGAGGCCCAGCCCTGCCTTTAGATAACACTGGGTCTGAAGAGAGAGACACAATGTCTACTCACAGGGGCGAGAGAAGATGCACTGAAAACCCCGAAGAAAAAAGGCCTCCAGTTCACACAGTGTGCAAGGAAGCATGGCCGATAAGGATGCCAGAGCTGGGAGTGGGCAGTGGGATGCCATTTTCCAAGCCAGCTCCGAGCGGTGGATGCCAGGCTGTGGAGCTGGGTCTGGAGCCAGTGGGGAAAATTACAGTTAATAATAATTTTTTTTTCTCAAAGATGCAGACAAAATTAAGATTCAAAGTTTTAATTAATTTCCATACTGATGAAAATAATTCCATGAATTCGGCAAACCATTGCATAAATGCTATAGGGTAAAAAAATGTAAACAAGTGTTAACAAGTTTAAACAATTCACTACAAGTAAATGATTCTGCATTATAAATACTACCTTCTGGGTTAAGAAAAGACCACATTTCTAGGGCATGCCACTGTTTATGCAGTGAGCTTACATTTGCTGTCTTGTACCTCTGAAGTTATTTGGAGTCCTAAGTGACCTTGAATAGGTCACCTTTCTGAGCCTTAATCGCCTCCGGTAAAATGAGGATAATCAATCCTAGCTCATAGAATGGCTGAGAGGGTGAGATAAGGGAATGTTATATGCCCCGAATGGTGCCTCATATATATTTGGTGCTCAGTACATGATTATTGACTCTGAATCCTCTTCCTAATCTTATGGATGAGGAAGTTGAGGCTCAGAGAGGTGAGGTGACCTCCCCAGGGTCACAGAGCGGGGCCCTCAGTGATCCTGAAGGCTCACATCTCCCTGCCCCACTCCTGCCAGGTGGCCGAGGAGGAGTAGTTTCTTACATCACTCCTGCCTTGGGGCAGACACTCCTGTTGGACAGCTGGTAGTTTATCACTCGTCTCTCAGGAATTCTCTTGGAAATGAAGGCTAAGCAGCAGGAAGAGGGGATGATCACGGGGCCTAAAAGACAGGAGAGAGAAGAGCCAAGTTCTTTACCAGCCTGCTCTAGACTCTGGGCTTCAACATGGAGCCCGTCCCCTGCACTAAACACCTCCAGTCCAGCCACTGGGCTGCCCCCTTCTCAGCAGTCCCCTCCAGAGCCAAGCTGCTCAGTCCTCCATCCTCTGCTGTGCCATTCCAGCCATGCCCTTGGGACGGCTGTCCTGTGTGAGCGACCCAGGGTGGGGTCAGAGTTCTTACCTGCAAGGACAATGCAGCAGGTGCACAGGGCCATGAGCAGGAGGCCGGTTGCCATGGTCATGGGGGCTGCCATGTCCTGGAGAGCAGAGGAAGCAGCTCAGAGCTCAAAGCTGGGGGCAGGAGGGGCGGGGCTGGGACAAGGGGCATGGTTCCCTGCGAGCACTCCAGCTGCCCTCTGGCCTTTACCAGGGCAGCTAGGAGGAAACATGTGCTTATATATATAGCCTCCCCAGGGAGCCTTCCCCTCCCCTCCTTCAAAGTGCTAGAAGCCTCTGAGATCAGCAAAAAGGAAGTCGTTGCTAGCTGAGTCAGGGGTTATCTTGTACTCTAAGAAAGGGCTGGCGGGGGAGGGCATTGCCCTGCTAGGGCGAAGTGCAAACGCATTGGATGCATGATGGGGATCCTGGCTGTGCTGCTCATTTCCTGTGGGACCCTGGGTAAGCCATTCACTTCACTGAGCCTCAGTTTCTTCATCTGAAAAGGAGTAAAGTTATCCTCTCTCCTTCCATTCATTCATTCATTCACCAACTCTTGTAAAGCAAGTGCCATGTGCCAGGCTTCTACTGCGGAGGCAGATGTGAGATCAAGTGTGCAGAATCAACTATTACAGGTGCTGGCGGAGTGGGCATAGCGGAAAGCAGATGCCGTCATTGTTCATTACTATCTCCTCGGACCCCTCTCCCATGTTCATGCGGCACCCCCTCTTGGTGACCTTGCATTCCCAATCCCCAAGCTGCCGGAGCCACCTAGCCTGCAGGCTCTAGGAAAGTGGGAAGTGCCTGGAAACTTACATCCTCGGGGAAGCCCTTCGCCAATGCCTGCTGGAGGGGTACAGACTCCAGGTCCAGCGTGACATGTACTGTTTCTCGAGTTCCTGGAGGGGTGGAGCCAGTTTCCTTCTGTGAGACAAGACTTGGCTGTCTCCTCCCCTTCAGGGTCTGCTTCCCCCTCCCCTACTGGTTTCCCCTGGAAGCTCTGCCTGATAAACGACTGGCCCACGAATCCTCGTCTCAGGGTCTCCTTTGGGGACCCCAATCTGAGACAATGTGTATGTGTGAGGGAGTGAGGCACATAGGGAGGACTGGCCAGTTCTTCTGGGGGGAGAGTGGCGCATGCACTTGTGGAGTGTGAGGTTGGCTCTGCTGAGGTTTGGAAGATGAAAGGCAGTGGGGACCGCGCTGGGGCTTTGTAAACCATAATACTCGGCTCAGTTGTCAGACAGAGTGGGACATGCCACCCACCCACCCCCCGCCCCCATTGCAGACTCCCAGCCTGGGACCCCATGTTTAGAGACTCTTGTCACTGCTGCTTCCATTCCTAAACCCTGTGCGTCCTCTCCATTTCACCTCTCATGGAAATACTTGGTTTTCTCCAGCCTCCCTGCTGTGGCCTCCCAGGAGCACACCTGTGTGGCAGCACAGTGGCCCACATCACCTGGCTGATGATGACCAGCTGTGTGTCTACATCTCCCACTTGACCATGAACACCTTGAGATCAATGTCTCATTTCCACGCCCACCAAGTCCCGTGCAGATCACCTGTCCCATGGCCAGTGTTTGTAGAATGAATATATGATGGACCGGCTCTGAGTCACTCTCCTTTGGATCAGGGACTCCCATGTGGTCTCTGCCCAGCATGACTGGGGTCAGTGTGTACACAGGGGAGCCATGCAGCACGTCCTCTGATGGGAGCAAGACTGAAGTTGGGGAGGCCAGCAGTGCCTGATCTCATAGTCCTTACTTATGGAGTGAAATATGGTGAGCACCCCGCTCAGCTCTTCACTAGCTTTGCACATTCCCCTCCCCAGCAGTAAGGACCCTCACCTGGCAGAGGAGCATGCAGTGAGAGCCCTTTACATATGCAAGGGCTTCTCACTGAGTCCATTTTAGGAAGCCGCTTCTAATCTTTGCTCCTCAACAATTCAGAGGGGATAGCCTGCTCTCTGTCTGGGTTTTATAACAGGGGGCGCTGGGAGAGGTGGCTGGAGATGGGAGAGACAGAGGCACGCAGGAGAAGCGTGAGGACTGGCCTGAGCAGGGTGGGAAGCCTTTGCGCCTTGACCATGTGTTACAACTTCACTGGGATGGCAGAAGGTCATTGGGCGGGTGGGTTTGGGGTGGGGTGCCTTACCCCAATTAGTCTATTTAGGGGCTTTCCCAAGATGCTTTTTTTTTTAAAGGCATTTCTTTTAAAGTTTATTTCTTTTATTTATTTATTTTTGGCTGCGTTGGGTCTTCGTTGCTGCGCGCGGGCTTTCTCTAGTTGCGGCGAGCGGGGGCTACTCTTCGTTGCGGTGCGCATGCTTCTCTTGGGGTGGCTTCTCATGCTGCAGAGCAGGGGCTCTAGAGCGCAGGCTCAGTAGTTGTGGCTCGCGGGCTCTAGAGTGCAGGCTCAGTAGTTGTGGCGCACGGGCTTAGTTGCTCCGCAGCACATGGGATCTTCCCAGACTAGAGCTCGAACCCTTGTCCCCTGCATTGGCAGGCAGATTCTTAACCACTGCGCCACCAGGGAAGCCTCCAAAGACGCTTTTTAAAAAAACACCCAGTCTCGCTGCTCTGTCTGGGAAAGTAAGTAAGGCAGGGACTACCAACCCATTTTACAAAAGGAAAAGCTGAAGTCTACAAAAGGTAAGTGAGTAGACACCACCACGGAGCTACTTATGCTGACTCCCAAAATGGGAACTGCACGTTCCCGCTGGAAGGGGGGATTCCAACAGCCCGAGCAGTTATTCAAAGTAAGAGTGGGAGAAGTAGGAGGTCCCAGGAAAGAATAGAAAGGGATAACTAGTGTAAACAGTGTTGCAGTGAACATTGGGGTGTATGTATCCCTTTGGACCATGTTTTTCTCCAGATATATGCACAGCAGTGGGATTGCAGGATCATATGGTAAGAGAGCTAACATTTAGATAGAGAAGGAGGAGGAGAAGAAGGAGGGGAAGGGGGAGGGGGATGGGGAGGGGAGGGGGAGGAAGAGGAGGGGGAAGGGAAGGAGGAGGAGAAGGAGAAGGAGGGGCAGGAGGCCAAGACAGCAGATGCAGGCAAAGACTTGGGGAACGGGGCTTCCCTGGTGGCGCAGTGGTTAAGAGTCCGCCTGCCGATGCAGCGGACACGGGTTCGTGCCCCGGTCCGGGAAGATCCCACATGCCGCGGAGCGGCTGGGCCCGCGAGCCACAACTACTGGGCCCACGCCCCACAACTACTGAAGCCTGCGCCCCTAGAGCCCGTGCTCCGCAACAAGAGAAGCCACGGTGATGAGAAGCCCACGCACCGCAACGAAGAGTAGCCCCCATTCGCCACAACTGGAGAAAGCCCGCGTGCAGCAACAAAGACCCAACTCAGCCAAAAATAAATAAATAAATACATTTTTTTAAAAAAGAAAAAATATGTTGGCTTATTTATTAAAGAGGCAGTTCAGTAAAGTGTATACCTGTTACCATATTTCAGCAAACAAAAAGTGGTCATTCTTGTTTTGTTGTTTTTATTACAACTCGTTTACAAGCTGGTGAACTGACTAAGCAATCCACAGGCTCTTCCATTTAATATATCATGGCATTTAATCTAATCTTTACAGTAATGACCCTGTGGAGTAGATATTATTCATTTTGTTGCACAGAGGTGAAGTAACTTGTTCTGGTCACAGTCCCTGACCACACCTTGTTTGCAGCTGAAACCTGAAAACAAGGGTGTTAGAAATATGGGGAAAGTGAGGGAGAAAAAGGCTAAGAAAGAGGAGGAAAATGGACAAGATGATCCTAAAATTCATGTGGAAATGGAAGGAGCTCAGAACAGCCGAAAGAATCTTGAGAAAGAAAGACAAAGTTGGAGGACTAACAGTTCTGGATTTCAAAACTTACTGCACCATAAAGTAATCAAGGTAGTTTGATGCTGGCGTGAGAATAGACATATAGATCAACAGAACAGAGCTGAGAGTCCGGAAAGAAACCCTTACATTTATAGTCAATTGATTTTTGACAAGGGTGCCAAGTCCATTCGATGGAAAAGAACAGTCTTTTCAACAGTTGGTGCTGGGACAACCGGATATCCACATGCAAATAAATAAAATGAAACCCTACTCCATACCACATACAAAAATTAATTCAATATGGAGCAAAAATCTAAATGAGAGATAAAACTATAAAACTCTTAGAAGAAAACAGGTGTAAATCTTCATGACCTTGGATTAAGTAACAGTTTCTTTGATGTGATATCAAAAGCACAAGCAAGCAAAGGAAAAATAGATAAGTTGGACTTCTTTAAAATTAAAAACTTTTGTGAATCAAAGCACACTCTCAAGAAAGTGAAAAGCCAACCCACATAATGGGAGAAAATCTTTGGAAATCACCTGATAATTCTAGTATCCAGAATTATAAACAAGTCCACAATACAAAGACAAATAACCCAATTTAAAAATAAGCAAAGAATTTAACTAGACATTTCTCAGAAGAAGATATACAAATGGCCCATAAGCACATGAAAAGATGCTCAACTGTGGATTGCTTAGTCAATAGGGAAAAGCAAATCAAAACCACAATGAGATATCACTTCACACCTAGTAGGATGGCTATGGAAAAAACCCAACAACAACAGAAAATAAAAAGTGTTGGCAAGGAAATGGGAACTCTCATACATTATTCATGGAAATGTAAGATGGTATAACCACTGTGGAAAGGTTTGGCAGTTCCTCAAAAAGTTAAACATAGAGTTACAGTATGACCCAATAATTTCACTCTAAAGTATATACCCTAGAAAAGTAAAAATATTTACACTGAAACTTGCACATGAAGGTTCATAGCAGCATTATTCATAGTAGCCAAAAAGTGGAAACAACCTAACGTCCATCAATTGATAAATGGATAAACGAAGGTACAATGCAGTATACAGTGGAATTTTATTCAACCATAAAAAGGAATGAGGTACTGATATATGCATTATGTTAAATGACAGACACAACAGACCAGACATTGTATGATTCCATTCATAAGAAATGTTCACAATAGACACATCCGTAGAGACTTAAAGTAGATTCCTGGTTGCCAGGGGCCTGGAAGAAGTAGAAAGTAGGGAGATACAGAGTTTCTTTTGGGGGTGATGAAAATATTCTAGAATTCGATAGCAGTGAGTGTTGTACAAATTGTGAGCATACCACTCACAGGTACACTTTAAAGGGGTTAAAATGGTGAAGTTTATGTGATGTGGATTTTATCTCAATTAAAAATCAGACGAAAAAAGAAAGAAAGAGAAGATGCTGTGGAAACATTCAAAATGTCTGTTCAAATGTTGGGGCCTTTATTAATGGCTTTATTAAAGCTGCGCCCAGTTTCAAAGATCTTGTCTGCCTCCCTCATGTGGGCCTGACTTTCGTCAAACAGTCTGATATATTAGACTGGAAACCGAGAGGGCACAGGCAGTGGGATTTCCCCCGGTCCTCCCTTACCTTGGTCACACTTCCTGGCAAGCGGGCAGACAAGGAAGCTTCCTTCAGTGGGTCCCATGGCCGAGTCCTTAGAGAGTTGAGGCTTGAGGGCCCCCTTCTCTCTCTCTTTTTCCTCCTGTGACCGTCCTCAGACCCCAGTGCCTCCTTACTCCCTCTCTCCGTTCTTATATCAAAACCTACTCTATAGACAGGCAATAAAAGGCACACATTCCCTCTACACCTAAGTGACTGAAAACAGCTTAAAATAAGACGCTTCATATATTCTAGGCCTCTGCAAATGAGGACCATTGAAGCCAGGTTTCTGCTTCTTGGAGAGGGGCATTGAAAATATGCAAAGGGAGAAGGAGTGCGTGAACCCAACATTGCTGAATTGAAAGCAGAGGTATCCATGTATATATCATCTTTTAGAAACACTGATACACCAATAGCGATGAGCATACCTAGCAAAGATATTTCTCCTTGGAGAAATAAATGATTCTAGTCCTGGGTCAAAGAAAGTAGAACCTGGAATATCTTTTTGGTGCCAGAAAGTAAGAAGTTGCTCAAAGAATCATGGGGATATGTCAAAAGGACATAGGAGCCAGCTTTCAGGGGCTCACACTGGCCAAATCTGAGACAGTTGGACCAGTAATAGTTGACAGTGATGTATTGAATAAGAAATCAATCAATCAATGAACAAAGTAAGTTTGAGGTTGAATTTTGTCTCCTCACAAGAATGAATGTTGGGGTCCTAACCCCCAGGACCTCAGAATGTGACCTTATTTGAAGATAGGGTCTTCACAGAGATAATCAAGTTAAAATGAGGTCATTAAGGTGGGCCCTAATCCAGTATTAACTGGTGTCCTTACAAAAAAAGGAAAATTGGACACAGAGATAGACACACAGAGGGAATATGATGTGAAGATACAGGGAGAAGATGGCCATTTACAAACCAAAGAGAGAGGCCCGGAAGAGATCCTTCCCTCAGAGCCCTCAAGGAAGAACCAACCCTGCTGACACCTTGATCCCAGACTTTTAGTGTCCAGAACTGACTGGGAGCAAATAAATTTCTGTTGTTTAAGCCCCTCAGTTCATGGTGCTTCGTTATGGCAGCCCTAGCAAACTAGGGAGAGAAGAGAAAGCTTTACCCTACAGTAGGATGCCAACTAATAAATATAGAAGAAATGATGGAGTTAGAAAATCATCCATGGATGCTAAAATTAGTGGGTAAACGGGTGATGAGAGATGGGATATTTACATAGTCTCAAAGTATCTCCCCACAAATCACATGTTAATTACAAAGAAAAAGTCGGTGACTCAATAGTGAAGAAACCTGGGGGACACATTTCTTAAAAACCATGTGAGTCTTCCTAGGAAGGTTTGGAACTGGACTGGGGATCAAGGAGAGAATCAGCTATGGTATACTGGAATGTTCTATACCCAGACCGCTAAAAACTAGCTGTGCAGACTTGAGCAGGTCACTCACTTCTCCCAAGCTTCAATTTCCTCATCTATGTAATGGGCAGGGGGTGTGGGTGACATGATCATGAGACTCCAAGGAAGTTATGGATATGAGAGCTTTTAGTAAACTTCAAAGCATGGTGCCCCTGCAAGTCTTCACCATCTAACAGCAATCAGAGCCTTAAACTAGAGGAATTAAGCCCATTTCAGGCATTAGACAGCAGAGGAGCAAATATATGGGGTCATTGAGGTCTTTCTTGGGCCCCTAAAATTGAATATCAAGGCAGTTGGGCTCTTTTTCTTTTCAGGGCCACATGGCATGCAGGATCTTAGTACCTCCCCCAGGGATGGAACCCACGCCCCCTGCAGTGGAAGCGTGAAGCCTCAACCGCTGGGCCACCAGGGAAATCCCTTTGCTGGCTCTTGAATGGGCTTTAAGGAAGAATGGAAGTGACTTGGAAGATAGGACCAACAATATCGGTCTTGCTCTTTTCTTGGGATCTGGGGTCTGGGTGACAGACAGCTGTTTCAAGATCCTTCCTGGGGTAGATGAAGTGGATGTGTTTTAAGAGGTTAAAAAAAATCTGTCAGGCTTCCCTGGTGGCGCAGTGGTTGAGAATCTGCCTGCTAATGCGGGGGACACGGGTTCGAGCCCTGGTCTGGGAAGATCCCACATGCCGCAGAGCAACTAGGCCCGTGAGCCACAACTACTGAGCCTGCGCGTCTGGAGCCTGTGCTCCGCAACAAGAGAGGCCACGACAGTGAGAGACCCGCGCACCGCGATGAAGAGTGGCCCCCGCTTGCCACAACTAGAGAAAGCCCTTGCATAGAAACGAAGACCCAACACAGCCAAAAATAAAAATAAATAAATTAAAAGAAGGCTCAACATTAAAAAAAAAGAAATCTGTCTCCTGGCCCTGCTAGTCTGATACAGATAATTGACAATTGCCCTCTTAAATAACTCGCCCTTTGTTAAAATGCAAAGGTGTTTCTTGGTAGGGATAACAAATCCCTCACGTAAACCCACTAATAAAACTTAACCAAACTAGTCATCCATCTAGCCATCCACCCACCCATCCACCCGTCCATCCATCCACCCACCCATCCATCCGTCCATCCATCCACCCACCCATCCATCCACTCATTGAACACTGCTGTATGCCAGGTGCCCTGCTCATCCCGGGTATCCCAGGGGGGAACTATACACAGCTGATGCCCTTGGGGAACTCACACTAACCCATGAGAGACAAAGGCAATTATGATACAAGTGGTAGGTGCCCCAATGGAGGAACAGAAGGCCATACTTTAGAGCAGAAGAGGTCAGAGAAGACTTCCTGGGAGAGGTGCCTCCAGGGCTGAGTAAGGCTGACCAAGGGGACTGGGTGGGGGTGGGGAGGGGTGGAGACGTGCTAGAGAGAGAGGTGTTCCAGGCCCTGGAGGTCACAGGTATGAGGTCAAGGAGGAGGGGGTGACTTGGTTAGGTATGGAGTTTCGCAGAAATCACTCTGGTTTTGGTTAACCAGAGTGGAGAGATCGTTGTGGAGGCGTGGCTGGGATCCAGGAGGGATAGGAGGAGCCAGTGAGAATGGAAAGAAGGGCAAAGATGTGAAAATTATTCACAAAGTCAACTCGTCAGGGTTTGCTGTCATGTTGGTTGAGGAGGGAGAAGGAGGTGACTAGGGTAACAGGTTTCAGACCGGGGTGCGTCTGTGTGGGTGAGGCCATTCCTGGAGGAGAATTCACCAGCAGAAGCAGGTCTGAGTGAAAGGCACGTGGGGTGGTCAGGTTCAGAGTACTGGGGGTTCTAGGAGAGCCTTCTAGTATGTGGCAGGCAGGGCGGTAGCGAGAATTCTGGGCATCCAACAGGCTATTCGAGCAGGAAGGCTCTTAGGGAGTCTCACCTCTCCTGGCACTTCGCAGATGGCAAGTGGAGGCCCACAGAGATTGCACAGATCCAAATGCCCCCACCCAGCCCAGTCCCAGACCCTGACAGCGTAGCACCATGGGAAGAGTACAGCCCTAGAGGCAGCCCATCCTGGGTTCCAGCCCTGCCCCTATTGGGGGCCCCGGGCTAGATGTTTAACTTCTCTGAACCTCAGACAATTTGCTGGAAGAGAGGGGTGTGAAAGCTCACCTCCCAGGGTGATGGGGGTTCTTGAGCCTCAGTGAAGGACTCCATTCCAGGCCTGCCGTCTTCGACTTGGCGAATCACCACCAGACCAGACCAGCATCTCTCTAGCTTTTCCCTTAAAACCCCACTTGGCTCTTCTGAGCTCTTACCTGATCCTCTTATTATTCCTATATCATAGGTGAGGAAACTGAGGCCCAGAGAGGTGAAATGACTTACTCAGGCCCTGAAACCAAGATGCAGCAGGGCTGGTCCTACATCTTCTGGCAAAGAACCACAGAGCAAGGCGGGCCGCTGTGCTGCGAGGTGCTGAGTCCCCTTCCTCAGTGCCCCTCAAACCCATCCCTTCCTGTTGACCCTAACTGACAGCACCTCTGCCCAGCCTCCATCAGCTCCCTCCTGGATTCCTGCCCCAGCCTCTTAACTGAAGGTGGCTGAAGACAGACAGAGTGTCTGGGGTTTAAAGTGAGGGAGATGCAGGAAGGAGCCAGGAGGATGGATGGGCGCTGGGGTGGGGAGCTCAGGGGATTCAGGAGAGCGGGCTGGGGGTGTCACTGCTACCCATGGTACCCTTCCCCCTCGCCAGCCAAGACACATGCAGTCCCAGAGGACTGGGAACAGGGGGTGGTCCTGAGAGCCACTTACCTGGAGGTGACAAAGTGACAGTCGCAGCACCAAATCTAGAAATGTTTCGCCTCTCTTATCAAGTCTGGGAGAGTAGGAGGGGAGGAGGGGCCTCCCGGGCAGGGCGGGGAGCCTCCCATACACTTCATTTCTGCTTGGCTTGGAAACTCAGAAGCCCAAAGTTCATGAGGACTTTTGAGAAGTTGGCTTTGTGGCATCAGACAGGTGAATGCGTAGGGTGAGAGGCCATCCCGTCAGGAGAGCGTGGGAGCCCTTTATCAGGGTGGACTTCTCCCCAAACACCCTAAGCCCAGGCCTGGAAGAGATGTGGCCCTGCTCAGGGCAAAGGGGAGACAGGTGACAGCTATGAAGCAACTTGCCCTTTGGTCTCTTGAGAGGAGGGCTTCCCAGAGCTCAACTTTTTTTTTTTTTCATGAAACCCATTTATTTTATTGGGCTATAAAAAAAATACAGACTCATAAAGTGAATATGATGTAATCTCAAAGGCAAATAAATAGTTAATAGAGATGAAAGTGTCAATCAGCAAGAATCAAGGCAAATGCGTAAAAATAAAGGTCTATGTCCAAGGCTGGTGGAGATAAAAATACCACGTGGTAATGGTATTCAGGGCCGGTGAATGGAATGCTAACAGGGATGTAGGATGGAGTAAGAAGTGTTTCCTAGTTAGTGATGTTAACTTTTTAATTTCTCCCCAAGAATGGTTTTTATTTCCTCAAAAGAAGAAAGGAGAAAACAATCCTTACCTTTAGTAAAATTTAATAAAATACATTGCAATGAGTCTTTTAACAGACACACAACACCAATATGTAGTATGCTTGTTTCAGACTGAAACAGGGTTAGAAAATATGATTATGTAATGAATCAAAAATTTAATTGTAGGGCTTCCCTGGTGGTGCAGTGGTTGAGAGTCCGCCTGCCGATGCAGGGACATGGGCTCGTGCCCCGGTCCGGGAAGATCCCGCATGCCATGGAGCGGCTGGGCCCGTGAGCCATGGCCGCTGAGCCTGCGCGTCCGGAACCTGTGCTACGGGAGAGGCCACAACAGTGAGAGGCCCGCGTACCGCAAAAAAAAAAAAAAAAAAAAAAAATTTAATAGTAGACCCGCTTATTGATGATGTATATAAACATACTAGTAAAAAAGACTCTTGACCACGTAATAAAAACTAAACGTATGTTTATGTCAGTGGCTCAGTGTGTGAAATTAACTCAAAAATCAACAATATAAAAGTCTCATAAGTTTCAAATAATGTAAGTTTTACTTGCAGCATGAATTTATGCATTCACTATATATGGTTTTTACCATACACCATGCTTAGATTATTGGAGGCCAGAGCTCAACTTAACACAAACAGGAGCACAAATAGTGGTACCGCTAACCAGCTGGTCCACTCTGCCTGGTGAACTGGGACAGCTGTAAACCAAAGGGAACTAGAAGATCCCCTTGTATGTCTCAGTGTCATTGCTACCTCCTAGATGTTGCAGGCCCCAGGGGAACAGAAGCAGGGGTCAAGAGATAAAGCTCAAAGAAGAAAGACATTGGTAGTTGGCAGAGCCATTCAGAGACAGATCTGCTCACCTTGAATGATAGTGAGATCCCCAACAAGGGGACCATGCAAGCACATCTTGGCAGGCCTCCGAGTAGGAAATTCAAGCTTCAGATGAGGAAGTCCCATTCAGTTCTGGGGTTCTGGGATCCAGGGAAGGACCCATTTCAGACTCAATGCCATTAGAACTCTAAGTCCAATGGAAAGACAAATGCATAAGTGAATAATTACACTATAGCATGATAAGGCATACGTAGCAGAGAGATTAAGAGCACGAGCTTTAGAGACAATTACGCCTGGGTTCATATACTGGCTCTATCAGCCTCAGTTTTGTTATCTGTGAAGTAGGGATGAAACCCTTTGCTCCCCAGGGGTATTATGAGAAAAGAGTGAACCACGTGCTGTACATAATGTTCCTGGCAGGGTGCCCGGCCTGTAATAAATATTAACAAGGGGGAGTCATTGCTAGTTCCAAGCACCTGCAGGCACAAAGGTACAAAGGGATCTGGGAGTGCAAAGGAAGACACGGTTCTGTGTGGCAAATGGGGAAGCTTCAGAAAAGAAGGCAGCCTACTCCTGGGCATGTATCTGGAGGAAACCATAATTTGAAAAGATACATGTAGCCCGGTGTTCATTGCAGCACTATTTACAATAGCCAGGACATGGAAGCAACCTAAATATCCATTGACATAGGAGTGGATAAAGAAGATGTGGTACAGATGTACAATGGAATATTACTCAGCCATAAAAAAGAATGAAATAATGCCATTTGCAATGACATGGATGAACCTAGAGATTGGCATACTGAGTGAAGTAAGTCAGACAGGGAAAGACACATATCATACGATATCGCTTCTATGTGGAATCTAAAAAAATGGTACAAAGGAACCTATTTACAAAACAGAAATAGACTCACAGAGGTAGAAAACAAACTTACAGCTATCAAGGGGAAAAGGGGAGGGGAGGGGTAAACTGGGAGATTGGGCTGGCATATACACACTACTATATATAAAATAGATAACTAATAAGAACCTGCTGTATAGCACAGGGAACTCTACTCAGTACTCTGTAATGACCTATATGGGAATAGAATCTAAAAAAAGAGTGGACATATGTATATTTATAACTGATTCACTTTGCTGTACAGCAGAAATGAACACAACATTGTAAATCAACTATACTTCAATAAAAATTATTAAAAAAAAAAAAAAAAGAAGAAGGCAGCAGGAGCTCCACAGGACAAGGGGTCAAGGACATTCCAAGCCAATGGGAAGCCTGGTGAGCGGCAGATCGGTTGAGTTCCAGAAGGTGATGGGAGGAGGTGAGGTTGGGAGTTTGGGGGCAGAGATAACACACTGCATCTCAATTGACCTGCCCCCAAAGCAACTCACATATTATTCCTTAATATCCAGGGAAGTCACCATTGTCCCCTCCCCATATCTGATAATGTCTCTAATTTTGTTGATTGTACCTGTTTAACTCCCAGACCCATCTATTCCTCCTCAACCCCATTCCTCTGCCCCCACTTGCCTCCCACACAAATGCAAGAAAACTCCTCCTAAAATGCAAACTAGCCCTGCTCACTCCCCTGCCTAAAATTCTTCACCAGGACCCCATCACCAACAGCTAAACTTTGTTCATTCCATCATCTCCATAATTTTTACCACTTCTGCCCACCACCCAATCTATTATACACTTAATTGAAATTGACTTCATCCAAAAATATCCATGAGGGAATTCCCTGGTGGTCCAGTGGTTAGGACTTGGCGCTGTCACTGCCAGGGGTCCGGGTTCCATCCCTGGTCAGGGAACTAAGATCCCGCAAGCCACGTGGCACGGCGAAAAAAACCCAAAAAAACAAAAACAAAAAAATACCCATGAAATCACAGATTTAGTGTACTGGCTATATTTTTTCCAATATGCATTGAAACGAACCCACAAATGTTAAAGTAAACCAGGAGTGAGTGTGTGTGTATGTGTGTGTCTGTAGCGGAAACTATCCATGCTCTGCCCATATCTCCTTGTCCTTGTCAATTCAGGGCATGCTGGCCTGGCTTCCATTGCCACCACCTGGCTGACTCTGCCCCCTGGGGCCAGGATGACCTGCTGGGAAAGGGGACTCAGGAACTCCACCCGGAAGTGGCTGATACCAATACCAGTGATTATGAGCAAATAACTTGGCAGGTCTTGGTTGACAGACAGGCAAGATGGGGCCAGTGATGTGCTGGTAAATGTTTAACAACTGGCTCTGAGAGGAAAGCTCTGATTTGCAACGTTTGCTGATTCCTATGATGTAAATACTCCTACAGTGGCTGATTCCAAGCTTTCAACCTGGTGTCACTGAACGTGGAGTTGGGAGGAGATGCTGTCCCAGGTCGGTATGTGCTGGCCTTGGTGTACCACTGGGTGGGACCCAGGATGAGGACTTAGGGGGCTCATGGTCCTTAAGGTCTGGGAGATGCAAGGAGGGGAAAGAGTGGTACTGAGAGGGAGGTTGGAATATATTTACTAGCCAGAGGCTCACTGAAAGCAGGTGGATGCTGGAGGAGGGAAGGCCTCTGAGCACATGCACAAAGGTCCTGATGGGCCACAGCTGAGGAGGCCACACCCTAAGAAGGCAAGGAGTCCCCGGGCTTGGGGACAGGAAGCCCTAACCACCAGCTTCTCCTGTCTTGCCTGAGGCCAGGTCCCATCCTTCTCCTTGTAGAAATATCTCCTGCTTGGAAGCTAAGGAAGGATTAGATTCTACTGATCCACGAAAGCTCATGGCTGAGGACCTCACTAAAAGGAGAAGTGAAAGGGGCATTCTTCTTGAAGGACTAGCCCAGCTGGATTTCTTCCCTAAGACAGAAAAACATGAGGCTGGAGCCACAGAGGCCCAGCTCTTTCACTGGGCTGCCCAAGGATATTGAAGTTCTTGGTCTGGAGTCAAACACACTCTTCCCATTTACTTGACCCCAAATCTCATGGGGTCGGTGGGAATTATTGGGAATGTTATGCTTCTGGGATATTCTTGCTTGCCCTACCTCCTGGAAGCAGTAGGAGGCTTGAATGAGAGATAGTTACAAGAGTACTTGGAAAATTGCAAAGCATTGAGTAGAAATGAGTGATGGAATGATGGTGATGCCTCATCCACCAAAGACCCCTGGGAAGCAGCCCCAACTCATTGACTCAGCCTACAGACAAAGTCCTTGGTGAGTTGGGTAGTTAGCTATCCAGTAAGTTTTGGGAGTCTGGGGGAGATGGGGTTCTAAAGGAGCTCCTGGACACCAAGTGGGGAAATTGGCAGGGGGTGGGGTGGTGGTGGGATGAATTGGGAGATTGGGATTGACATATGTACACTAATATGTATAAAATAGATAACTAATAAGAACCTGCTGTATAAAAAATTTTAAAAATAAAATTCAAAATATAAAAATAGGGCTTCCCTGGTAGCGCAGTGGTTGGGAGTCCGCCTGCCGATGCAGGAGACACGGGTTTGTGCCCCGGTCCGGGAGGATTCCACATGCCGCG